ATAGCTAGCTAGCTAGCCAGCTAGCTAGCCAGCTAGCTGGCCAGCTAGCTGGCCAGCTAGCTGGCTAAGGAGTACACACTGAAGGCTTTGTGCATTTGTGAGAAGGCCTTTTGTGCCCTGCTGGGAAAACGAATAGAGATCCGACAAAACCTCAATGCGGCTGCTGCTGCTGCTGCTGCTGCTGCTGCTGCTGCAGTGGATGCTTTTGCTGCAGCTTCTGCTGCTGCTTCTGCTGCTGCTCCTCACTCCTTTCTTGATTTTTTCTTTTTCCTTTTCTTGTCTTTGCGGCCGTCTCTACCGTTGCCCTCCAAAACCTGCAGCAGAAGCAGCAGCACAAGCAGCAGGCACTGCAGCAGCAGCAACAGCTGCAGCACGGGCGGCAGCAACAGCACTTGCAAGAGCAGCAAAAGCTGCAGCAGCAGCAGCAGGACAACCGCAAATGCAGCGGCAACAGCAGGATCCAATCGCAGCAGCAGCAGCAGCACAAGATTTCACGAGAGATGCTGCAGCACGCTGAGAACGTCAGCAGCAGCAGCGGCAGCAGCAGCAAGCAAATCATTAGCAACAGCCTTAGAAATATTTTGAGCAGCACCCGTAGCAGCCGCAACAGTAGCAGCAACATTCACAGCATCACAGGCATTAGCAGCAGCAGCATGAACAGCATAAACATGATTATCAGCAGCAGCAGCAGCAGCAACATCAACAGCATGAAAGGCATTAGCAGCAGCAATAACAGCATTAGCAGCTGGAGCACAATAATCAGCAGCAGCAACAGCAGCAGCACCAAGAGCAACAGCAACAGCAGCGTTGGCAGCCCGGAGATAATTATCAGCAGCAGCAACAGCAGCAGCAGCAGCAGCGGGTTACTTCTGCTGCTTCGACAGCCCTGGCGAGGACAGCAGCCATGGGCTGCGACAGTTGTCCATTTTGTGTCTGTCTTTGAGTTTGTTTTAAAACAATTAATTCTTTTTTTATTTCCGAGAAGCAACGCAGCAGCTCAGACCAACGCTCTTCTGCTGCTGCTGCTGCTGCTGCGTTATCTGTTGCTGCTGCTGCTGCTGCGTTATCTGTTGCTGCTGCTGCTGCTGCGTTATCTGTTGCTGCTGCTGCTGCTGCGTTGTCCGGTGCTGCTGCTGCTGCTGCGTTGTCTGCTGCGGTTGCTGCTGCTGCTGCGCTGTCTGCTGCCGCTGGCGGCGCGCGTGGCTCTGCTGCACTGCCTGCTGCTGCTGCAGCTGGCGCTGCTGCTGCACTGCCTTCTGCTGCTGCTGCTGCTGGTGCTGCTGCTGTTGCTGCAGTTGGGCCATCCTCCGCGAGGCTGAGCAAGTGTCTCTTGATGACAAGTTCAGCATCGAAGCCGTGCTGCTGCTGCAGCT